GGAGCGCTTGTAGTGTTGCCTCTTTGTATGTTGCAGGCAGGATCATTACTGGAACATGGGTGGCCACATAGGCCACATATCATTTTAGATTGTTGACTCTCTTGCCCCTAGAAGTCATCACTTGCCAGTTGTTCATCAGTTACTGTTGGGACACCATGAGCCTCTGTCCTTCTCCCATCACTGCTGCTTTTTGCTGCCTTTATCTTGTGCCGCTCTCATGCATGCTGTCCAGCAGCTGTTAATTCATTGAACAACGGTCCTGCCTTGTCCAGAAAATGCTCTTTCACTGCAGATGTCTGGTAGCTTTGGCTCTTCCAGGGTCAAAACTGGCTTCTGACAGGTTCAAAGGCTCCACTAAGGAGATTATAATTAGATTTTTTTATGGGATGCATATTTATTGCCTGTCTAACTGCCTTGCAAATATTTGTGGTTAGACCTATAGACTATTGTCACCTGCTTTGTGGGAGAAATACAGTGTGTTTGATGGTTCCTGCCATAGATCCCTGTTTGGTTAAACTGCTGAGAATGGCTGCTTCCATCATACTGTGGTCAAGTGTTCACATCACTATCATATGCGTTTAGTACCACTGGAAATGCTCAGGAAACCGTGGAGCAAAGAATGTGACAGGAAGAACACATGATCGCAAACTGTGGACAATGCATTACACACAAATGAATTTCTTCTGCCTGTCCTGGCTTTGAGTCATCATGGAAGAGAGATGGCTTAGATGGTTTTTAAAATAGCTGCATGCCTAGGGAAACATGATAATGATCCTAACATACATACAGAGATAGGACTGTGGCAAAAGGAAAGAGGATGTTAATAACCCTGAGGGAAAAAAGTCCTTGTCCTTACATGAGCAACAGACACTGTTTTCTCAGCCCCCACCTCCCCCAGCATTGCTTGTCTTTGGGGAACGTCTTTTAGTATATATATGAGGTGGAAATTTGACGGAACTCTGGAGTTTTATAAACTAACTTTCCTGGGTTGGTGGCCACATTGGGTTGGAACGTCTCAGAGATGCAGCTGTCATTGACTCAAGCATGCTCCTGTAAGTAGCCCTTCACCTGTGTTCCTCATTACAATATTTCACCAATGAATTTGCATGGTATAATTTCTTCGGTAATCTCAAAGCCCCACTTTGGGAAAACTGACATTTATTCAGTTCTCACCTGGTGACAAACACTAACAGAGAGAACTAGGAAAGAACTTTCCAGAATGTAAATGCTCAATTAAGAGCATTTACATACTTTGAGATCAGTGGATGTTTTAGGGGCTGCTGCTTGTCTTGGGAACCCGTGACAATATCCTAAGAGATTTTTCATTTTCTAAGTTGACATGACTGAAAAGAAGGGGTCACTGTAATTTGTTTCTGACGTGCAGTTGTTGTTAAATTTCTTCATTGCATAAGTAACCTTTAAGAAAAGACATTACTCAACTCAAAACGATTAGGTAGCTGAAATGGAGAACTTGGACTTTACTGAGATCACAGGATACTATGTTGCAATTTTCTAAACACCAGGAGAAAGAAGCTAAAAATTTGGGATGATGGGCTGAGGTATGTGTTTACTTAGTTAAGTCACCCTGCCTGAACATTCAGTTCTGAAGTCTAACGTAGACAGTGGTAATGGACTCTTCCTTACAAATTTGGAATATGCCAGATGACACAAAGAAAGGCGCAGGCATGTACTAACAGATCACCTTAACTTTGTATGTGACAGTTATAAGAAAAATGAATTAGTAACAGCCATAATATTTAATTTATGAAATGGAAAATGAGCATATATATCCAAGGTATTAAAATATTTTAAAACAAACAATGTAAACTTTGGTATAGGATTAATTTAAATTTTAAATATCCTTAAATTTGAGTATCCATCTGGAGCCTGCCAAAGATTCAGAAAGTCACTGAAATGTCAGGCTATGACTTTAGGAAATACAATTATTTACCCACATTTGTGCAATAGGAAAAATTCACTCCCAATTCTGATATACAAAACTGCGTCTTGTAGCAGAAGACCCCAAAATGGACAAAAATTCTAAAGACTGTGTAGCCCCTATAACCTCATTTAAGTAGATCACTGCAATGGGTGTTTTTCTCTCATGGCAGGGGCACTCCTGCTGGTAGTGTCAAGCTTTCTCCTCTGGCAGAATGTGGCCTCCACCTCAATGGATCAGATGTCCACAACAGACTTGTACAATCTTCTTGTCCGCAAATCCTCAGACAACCGTAATCGTGTCTCATTACTATACCGTGAGTATGTAAGTAGCACGCTTACTTTTAGCTTTCTCTAAAAGTTTTCTTAAACATTCTATAGATCAAACTAATGGGCCTAATGGGCACCATGAACCAAATTCAAATACACCACCATAGGTAAAATAAAATATCAGACATTAAACCATCACACAGAAAGAATGGGAAGTTTTATGAAGCCCCAAAGAGTTTTAGAGAATGCGATGGTATTTTTTTTTTACTCTTCGTGGTAATAAACTTTTGAAAAGCAACTTGTTTTCAACATGGACTTTGGGAATAAATCCAGAAATAATTACCAGGGAGGGACTGCAAATTTCTGGTGTTGCACGGCACACTCATTCTCTGTGAGCATTCTTCAATCAACGTTCTGCTGATATCCAGTGCAGAGCTACATTCCTGCACTGAGGTGTGTGGATAGAATCACACCCAACTGATCTGAAACCGTGTAAAGAGGAAAGAAACAAAAATCTGGGTCCCCAAGAAATCCTAATGTCAGACAACCGTAATCGTGTCTCATTACTATACCGTGAGTATGTAAGTAGCACGCTTACTTTTAGCTTTCTCTAAAAGTTTTCTTAAACATTCTATAGATCAAACTAATGGGCCTAATGGGCACCATGAACCAAATTCAAATACACCACCATAGGTAAAATAAAATATCAGACATTAAACCATCACACAAAAAGAATGGGAAGTTTTATGAAGCCCCAAAGAGTTTTAGAGAATGCGATGATATTTTTTTTTACTCTTCGTGGTAATAAACTTTTGAAAAGCAACTTGTTTTCAACATGGACTTTGGGAATAAATCCAGAAATAATCACCAGGGAGGGACTGCAAATTTCTGGTGTTGCACGGCACACGCATTCTCTGTGAGCATTCTTCAATCAACGTTCTGCTGACATCCAGTGCAGAGCTACATTCCTGCACTGAGGTGTGTAGATAGAATCACACCCAACTGATCTGAAACCGTGTAAAGAGGAAAGAAACAAAAATCTGGGTCCCCAAGAAATCCTAATGCTGTTTATCAATCCCAGTGAAGAGCTTCTACTTACTGTGGGAGGATTAATATACAAGTGGAAATACGGTCTGTCTTCCCAGTGGACATAGGTATCTGTTCAAGGTCATTTGATAAAGAGTAAATAACTTACACTTCAGTGCTAAATTAGTAGTCTAGATAATAATTCTATGGACTTGTAATAAATAAATATTGATATTTTCCTATTTTACACTAGGGTTTCTTTTTATTTCATTTCATATTCTGGATTGGCAATCTTTTATATGCATAATATTTCTGTGATTCCAAATTGGCTCAATATTAGCATTAAAAATATGTGCTTTCAGGGGGCTGGAGAGATGGCTCAGTGGTTAAGAGCACTGACTGCTCTTGCAGAGGACCTGGGTTCCATTCCCAGCACCCAAATGGCAGCTACGAATCGTCCTTAACTCCAGTGCCAGGGGAATCAGAAATCATCTTCTGACCTTCATGGCATTGCACAATATGGGTACATTCACATACATGCAAGCAATACATTTACACACATAAAATAAAAAAAATACATTATTCTAATCTTCAGTTGATTATTATATATAAGCATTAAGTAATAAGTTAATTCTTTGTTCATTGCTGAATAGTTGCTTTAAATATGTCCAGATTTTTATGAACAGTTGTGACAGAATCCATGATCTCATTATAGATTTGTCATAAAGATTTGGTGATAACAGAAAGAAATGACACAATTTTGCAGCGCCTAGTTAAAAGAAACACAACACCTTGGACCAGAAATTAGCATGAAATTCCTAGTATGGACACATACACTGTCCTTGGCGCTCATCTCAATCACTACATAAAGAGGACACTTAAACCTTTCGTATTGCTGGATTCTGTGGGGTTTTCATGACCTTTGTCCAAACTATAATTTTTACAATAAACAAAAGGCAAAAGAACAATAGTGAAGAAGGAGGAGGTTCAGAGGCTCAGTAGTTAGACTGCATCTCTAAGGGCAAGGAGATCTAGGCCACTTGCGTTTTCTTAATTCCTCAATTGCAGTTTGTATATAGTTGTTATTGTTAGAAATTGGATATCTGTTACATACATTAATGATCTGGTGAGAGATGATTTCTTTTCACTCTGAAGTTTTGACAAATTAGAGAGTCTCCTTATTTCTAGGGGCAAACATATGCCAACCGAAGTTGGTACAGGGAAGACCACCCTTGCCACACTGGTGCCCTCCTTACATCAGAGATCAAACAGCGTCTCCAGTACACAAAAGTGAGTATATGCTGTGGGTTTTACCAGGACGGCTGAGGTTGTACATTGGCTGGCTGTGCTGTAGGTCATTAAAGGAGTTATAAGATGTGTGATTATCATCTATCAATAAAATAAAGCAAGATTGAGAACAGCCACATTATATAGTTGATAACATAAATTAAATCAAATGGTAGTTCATATCATAAATGAGTCAAAAATTGTCTTTCAGAGGACTTTTTTTTCT